TGGTGCAAATTACTGACCTCTGTCATCATTTTAAGTGGGGGAACTTGCACAATCGGTGGCTGACTAAATACTTTTTTGCCCCACTGTATCTTTAAATGTCTCCATTGCAGTCTGAACAGGCTGTTGTTTCTCTATTCATGGCTGAGTTTAATATTTTTACTGTTACCGAACATTTAAAAACTGGTACATAGTTTGAAGTTTCCACTTTTAACACAAAAATAGAGACTCGGGGTTGTCTTGGGTTGACATGGCATCTTCTTGCTATGTCATCTTAAATTGGTCATGTGATTGGTTTACAGTTTACAGACTACTTTATTCTTCCTCAGCCAGGCAGTAGCACTTGTACAATTGTTTTGCCCCTCTAGCTCCTGGTAAGAGAAAGATAGCTTCACCCATCCGTGTGTTGAAAAAAATTAAGACTGCATTTTCTGCTAGTAATGATAATGGCCTTGTAACGATAGAAATAATAATTAGTTAGATTACTTGTTACTGAAAAAAGTAATGGTGTTAGTAATGCCAATACTTTTAACACCATTATTCCCATCACTGATTGTAGCACTGTGATGTTTGGTGGATATTACCCAATATGTGTGGCTGTAACTGCAGCCATCACACCACAGATGACTTACTTACGTGAATTTACTGCTTGGCAGACACCAGTGCAGCATGCACTACAAAGACCGAATTCAAAGTCAGACAAAAATTATGACTTCAGGCTAGTCCATTTTGGAAAACTGTTACTGTAGCAACTCAAAATAGTGCTCAGCAGTGTGTGTGACCCCCCACAATGGCAGAATAATCTCCACAGACTCTCATTTACATCTGTCACATGTGCTCAGGGTGAAACTGCTCTCACTGGTGAAAAACAGAGGGCGCCAGTGGTGGACCGAACTACATTGATATTCTCACAGCAAACATCTGACAGCTATTTTTTAAACTGCTTCTGGGTGAAAAGCAAAATCATCTCTTAAAGGTTTTCTTTTTACAGGAGAGTAATGATAGGTGCTGTCCTGAAAACAGAAACTTCCAGTTTTTCTGTCATATGATAAACGGCACCTGCTGGTGGATCTTGTAGTGAGACTGTGAGCTCAGTATTTAAGAGCAGTGGAATATCTGACAGTAAAAGGGAGACATGAAATTAATACACGTGGCTTTAGGTTTCCCTTTGTGTTAGGACGGGTTCACTCACAGTTTGCTGAACTGCTGGAGTTCATGCAAATTACTTTTCCCCTGAACAGTGGACTTTTTCTGAATCTCATGATATTTTTCTGTTGTTCAGATCTCAGACAGCTTCCCTGTTTTGTTTTTACAGATCATGGTGAAATTACCACTGTTACACAGAATAATCTCACAGGTAAGAAAGGTTTTATATAATTTGTGTTGTTGTAGCTTTATTAAATCCAAACTGACTGAAACCTGTTTTTCTTGCAGTCAGCACGACTTCTGCTCCTGAAAATACAGAAACCTTGTTGCCGTACGTGTACTCTGCTGCTGGGATCGCCACATTCGTCATCATAGTCATAATCATATCTGTCATATCAATGCGAGGCTGTAAAGGTGAGCTGTTCTCTCGCCTCTTCAAAATAAAACATCACCAGACATACTGAATACTAAACATGTAAACTGTCCATCCTGCAGGGAAGCCAAAGAAAGACAGTCAAGCTGAAAATCAGGTAAGATATAAAATATTTCAAGCTTATCACATTTTTCCAACAATAATGTTAACCCACAAACATTTTTGAATGTTTAAAGCAGATGGAGATCCCCATGGTGGATCAATTCTTTTCAAAAGTCATCTTCAAGCAGAGGAAAGAGGAAGACCCTCTGCTCTGTGATCTCGGAGATCTAACAAGGACACCATCATCGTAACTCAATGAGCTGACATTATCAAGATATGATGAACAGGCATATTGACCAAGGAGGGCAATATGCCTGCTCGAGGAGGAGAGCAGCTATGTTGTGTTTGCTGCTCCCAACCACAAGCTGTACAATTAGCAGGTGATGCAAAGATTTACTTGAAGTGTAAAATACAACCTGTAAACCATAAGCAGTCATCTCCAGGGCTGAAAAATGATGTCCAAGTGCCAAAGCCTGCAATTCTTTAAATGTCCACTTGAGGCGGTCTCAAAGTTTACAGCAGAAATAAACATGGTTACAGGATGGTACAAGAAAATGGTTTTGGTCTCTGTGGCTAATTTCCCAGTTTATTTCATTAGCTTGTCAGAATCCTGGAGTTTTCGATCCAGCCTTTTCAGTTTTTCTACTTTCAATTTCTGTCATTTTTATTTTTTTCTGTCTGACTTCTAGTCATATAATTTAAAAAATTTTTTTTTTAAAATCTCTATTAGTTATTTCTTGTTGATTTTGTTATATAGCCTAAGGCTTTTTTTCTTGAAGTTTCTGTCTTCTGTTCCTTATTTTAGTTTTTTTCGTCCCCATGTTTGTCCATATCTTGTTTATTCTCCATCATATTGTTAGATGTTCCTTTAATTACCTACTTCCTGTTTTATTTTGCTAGTCTTGCATGTGTTGTGTTCAGTTTTGCTTTTGACTTTGTTCAACTGTCTCATCCTCCCCATCTCCCCCCATCTGTCCACTTCCCCTAATTGCCCTTCTTTGCACATAAAGTTGCTCTCTCTCCTTGTCCTTTGTCAGTGTCTGTTCTATCCTACTATTGTTAGCCTTAGTATGTTTTCTAGTTTTTGGTTCATTGTCCATTTTTATTATTTTGTACTTGTTTTAAGTTTTGTACAACCTGCTTTCAGTCCACAATAAATGGCTTGCATTCAAATTCAAATTCAAATTTGATTTGTCACATACACAGTCATACACAGTACGATATGCAGTGAAATGCTTAGACAACTGCTCGTGACCTAAAGAAAAAAAGAAAAGGCTATGAATAAGATAGGAAATAAATATGAAAATTAAAAAGGGTAAATGGTAAATGGCCTGTATTTATATAGCGCTTTTACTAGTCCCTAAGGACCCCAAAGCGCTTTACATATCCAGTCATCCACCCATTCACGCACACATTCACACACTGGTGATGGCAAGCTACATTTAGTAAATTTAACTAGGAAGGAATAAAGTAAAATATAAAAATTAAAGTTAAAAATGAAATAACTGTACAACACAAATTAGAATGAAGGGTAAATTTAACTGGGAAAGAATAAGATAAAAAATATTGACAATAAAATAACTGTACAACAAAATACACAATACACAGTATAGAAATATATAAGAATGTATGAAGGAATATAAATATATATATACACAATAACAGCAGCCGTTACATTAAGTGTGCATCTGATTCACTCCTCATATTAAACACCTTGAAACAGCTGGATAAGTTTCTTTTAAATCTTATTAAGGGTTAACATGTGTGCTGGTTTTAATGATTAGCTTTTAGCTTTACCAACAGATACTCTAAGGCAGGGATCCCCAACCCCCCCGAGAGCTACTCATGCTTTCTAATATTTCATACCTAATTTCAACTCAAACAACCCAAAAAGCTTGTTTGTCCTGAATATTTACAAAATGATGTTGTCCACAACTTACATTTTGCATTAACACATCAAAAAAATATTTAGTTCACTTGCAAGTGTCAGGGCTGACTGACTGGACTCCTACGAAGACTTGGAATCAAAGCAGAAAACAGTCTTTATCTACACAAAGCACCAGGTGAACTATATACAACGTGAGGGGACAGACAGGGCTCCAGGGACCCCCAGCAGATGGAGGGAAGAAACACACTCTCCACACTTGCTCTTTGATCCTCACTCCATTCACTCCACACGCTCCACTTCCTCGCTCAGTCGCTCCATTTCCGCACTCCGAATCTCCTCACGCAAACTGGCTTCACTCCAAAGACACAAGCGCAGTCATTCAGGAAACACAGGAGCAGGTCCAGGGAAATGAGAGAATTACCGCTAAGAACACCAGGGAACTCACTAAGCTGGGTTTCACTAACCAGGGGCGAATCTAAAGAAATTTTCTTAGGGTGGCATGAGAATGGCATGGAAATCAAATGGGGTGGCAAAATCAAAGCCTTTTTAAAAACACATATGCAGGTGTTACATATGGTTAAAATGACTAAAATCCAGTAAATATACACGTTTCATATAAATATAGTCTATAACTTAATTATTTCTGTAGCCCACATAATTAAACACTTTAGTTAAATAACACATTTGAATGCTGATTTAATCTACTGTATAGCCTGTATAATAAATAAATATGTAGCCCAGTAACTATAAAATCCAGAAAGCTACAAACCACGGGGTGGTTCATTTACAAACACAAGTCTAATTTAAGTTGAACTGTTTTTTGTTAGAAAAAAAATCTAATTGTTACATGCTTAAATTTACACTGTCGTGAACAAAAGGTTAAACCTAGTTTTTCATGATTTGTTGGGTTACCCCTCTGAGGTCCAAAATATAATTGGCCTTTTTTGACTACTTTTAACCTAGTGGTAGTAGCCCTGTTGCTAATGAGAGTCAGTAACGGTCCAGTGATGAGACCGTAGACTGCCAGGTAATGAGCCTCAGGTGTGTGATTACAGCCAGGTGCGTAGGCCAATGGCGGGAGCCTGAGATGAGCTCTGCCCAGGCAGTCAGGAGACAGAGGAATAGGGAGGAAGAGTGAGAGCAGGAACAAAATCAAAACAAAAAAACATGTAGCCTCACTGAGTCAGCTGGGTAGACACAGGGACACTGCACCAAGTGCATGTTGTATGTCTGTATACACTGCAAAGACATGTATCTCACACTAAATTAAAACAGTGCAGATACAAAGATATTACTTATTCATTCATATCCCTGTTTCACTTCTCAAGAGTTTTTTTTTTTTAATCTCTGCCTTGTAACTGTAGGTTACAACTGTCAGGGAAGCAAGATCAAGAAGCAACCCTTCATCAGATTATAGTGTGGTATCCTCCTCCCTCATTTTCCAGATGAATGAAAGAAAGCACTTTGGTATCTTACCTCAACTTAACCATCTGACTTCAGTATAGAGGAGGACATCCCCATACTCGGCAGAGCGTTCCTCCAGTAACAACCTGAAGCTTCGGTGTTGCTTTGCCTTTGCCCGAATGGAGCTGATGACATTAACATTATTAACAACAGGCAGCACGACATGGTCAAATTCCATAACTTTTGGGCATACCCATATGGAAAAGAAATAGTAAAAACTTATATGTGATTACTCATTAAAGTGGCCACTTTCATGAGTAAATCATATAAGGCTTACATGATTTACTCATGAAAGTAAAGTACTTTCATGAGTAAATCACTCATGAAAGTACTTTACTTTCATATATTGTTTTAGTAAGTATCCAAAACATACAAGTTTCATTATATAATTTTTCAAGGGATCTTATATCTGTTTTCATTCTTATATGCTTTTCATACAAGTTTCACCCAAGACAGATACAAACTTTATAAGATTTATATATATCTTTTCCATATGGGTATAGCCTGTTGGTAAGTGATGCAATGACAGTTTAGAAACTAAACTCCTGAGTAACAACCTGCCATAGCAGTTGTCACAGACACAAGCTTTTCAACAGGCATGTTTTTTTTTTTTGCAAAGTAGTCTTTCAGTAATTGTAAATATCTGCTGCTCTGCCTGTAGTTTTCAGTTGAAGTAAAAAAGTCACCAAACACCATCTGATTGACAACAGCCAGGCCAGCTGACTCCGCACACTGAATTAAAAATGATTTACACCTATGCATGTCCAATTCCAGCTGTTATAATGCATCTGCAGACATTGCAGACATTCTCCTTGCCACAATATTTGCACCAAGTACACTGGCAATAGCAGACAAAATTTCTTTAGTACTTTTACGGTCACTGGATAACGGCTACGTCTAATGCGTTTTCCTTTGAAAACGCTTTGTTTTCTCTCTTCGGTTTGGCCTCCCGTCCACACTGCGATGGCGTTTTCCCCAAGGAAAAACACAGCGTTTTGAAAATGCTTTCGAAAACACATAGATTTCAAAACGGAGCTGTCCCGTCGCAGTGTGGACAATCAAAAAGGCAGACTTTCTAAAATGTTGACACATTTTAGTCATGTGATGCACTCATGTGACCAATTAAATAAAGAGGGCATTGTACAGCAGTTGTTTTGATTGCTCTCAATTCTGACAGCCCTAAAAAAAGATTAATATCAGTTTGTACATGCTCCAGATAGCTTTTCTTCAAATTCTTTAATTCTCACTCGCTTTTGCTCATGTGTAGGACTTGAACGTAAGCGTTTTGGGCCCTTTCAATGTGTCGTTTTCACAACTCTGTGAAAACGACTGAATGTGGACGCGGAGCATTTTCAGATGAAAACACCGTTTTCAAATCTATCCAGGCTAGTGTGGACATAGCTAACATTTCATAGCCTCTTTTACAATCCTGCCATTTGTTAAAATATGTTCATTCAGTCATGAGCTGCTGTAACATGAAACAAGTGGCTGAATTGGCACCTCAACATACACTCAAGTTCTTTAAAAACTTGCTAATGAACTACTAATTTTATTCAGGTGTGTGGCAGCAGGGACCCATGGAAAAGTTTCAGGACACCGGCCCCCGAGGACCTGACTTTGACACCTGTGCTCTACGCCCTAGTTCAGTTGACAGATGTATTTACATAGATGCGCCACCTGCATGAAGGACTTCTAAAATGCATTAATAAATAGGTTTTGCAGGAGGTTAAAAAATATTATCCACGCTAATAGAAGACATTCTGTTGAATTGTTGATTTGCTAAAATGCTTGTGTGTTTTTTCTTTTGCAAATTGTTGTTATTTCCAAAATTTTGTATCGGCCTTATTCCTGTGTGCTGCAGAGCTCCAGTGTTGCTACAAAATGATGTTAAACAGCTGCACAATTGTTCTGTTGGCATGTTAGTTCATTACCAAGAATGTGGGTGCTGTTATTTTCAGCCAATGCTATGCACACAATCATCCTGCCATTAATGCTCACTGGTTTATCAAATGTTTATTAACCTGCTACTAAAATTAGTCTCAGTGGTGTCAGTGCACATCCATGACATCCGTACTGTTGTGAAACCACACCTCTGATAACAGTTATCGTTTAATGTCTTACACACTGTCTGTACCATATCAGCTATCCACTCACTTTCCAACTACATTAATGTAGTTGCAAAGGTCAAGGCCAGAGATCACCTGGCCTGGAAATGCATTGTTGACCAAGATGGAAACCCTACGGTACACACAGCAATGTATTGGCTTAGTGGACAACCTCTCCTGTCAACCGCCGGCTAGGGACAAAAGAAAGAAGAAAGAACTACATTGTTGACTGATGAGCTCCTGTAGTTTTAGTGATTCATTTGGAAGTTTAGGATGTAATATTAGTCATTTTGTGCAATTAAATAATACTGATTTTTCTAGATCACGATAATGAATTATTCTCATACTGTGTTCGTGTAAAGCACTAAAGTAAAAAAAAAAAAACCTGAAAAATACACCAAGGTGTGTTGGTGCTGTGGTAGGTACATACTGGGTGTAACACTATTATGCATCCAAAGACCCCTGTAATCAGAAACAGGAAGTGAAGTCAACCATATATCATGCACTGTCACATACAGAGCACATACAGGTTTTACACAAGTACACAGCTGGTTCCTTAAATGTCTGCCATGAAACATTACTTGTGCTGGACCATCCTCTATTTGCTGATCTTCCCAGTCCTCATTATCACTCCGGATGCTCAGAGTAAGTGATTCTTACTAACTTTAAATGGCTCTATTTCAGTCTGAACCCTACTGAGTTTAATATTTGCACTGTTACAGGTGCAAAATGCAGAAAACAGCTACAAAATTGTAAATATCCTTTACTGTTTACCTTAAATGTTAATTCAGTGCACGCGTCTAGTATTTTTTTTATAGTATTCTTAAGATGCACCAAAAGGCTTGGCCGCGCAGCGCTCACACCCTCTGTCTACCAAAAGCCTCAACACGAAGGACAAAACGCTGTGAAATGGTCTTTGATGCTATGATGTAGATTTTAGCTCAACATGTGAATGATTTTTAGACTTTTTCCAGATATGTTAATAGTAGCAACAACAATACCACAATACTGTGCCAATCTTGAATCAATATAAATCTGAATTTAAAAAAAAAAAAAACTTTTTTGAAAATGATGATGATTCTTTTAACAAATCTGTACTGAAGGACTGGACTCATTAAAGGAAACTTATATTTAACCACTTTGTGAACATTTAGTTCCAAATCCTAAAAACAGTCAGACTCTAATATTCCAAAGTTTAAAAGGCTTAAATCTGTTTGTTTCTTTTTCTTTTTTTTTTAAGAATTTGTTTCAGTCAATTCAGAGCAGCAACGTGCTCAAACCACAAATACACCACAGACTGACTTTCTAACCTGATTGTACTGTTTAGTGACACAGGTGCAGCATGGAAACCTATAAAGCTTTTTCTGTGATCTAATTCAGATAGATTTAGAAAAACTTAATTTAGGTAAATATATGCTCAGTCTTTCCTAATCTATATTTTGTTGTTCTTGTTTCTGCAGGTGATGACTCTGACTGTTCTACAGAAATCAGAGTACGTCACAACACAGTTCATAATGCCTCACTTGGACATCAACTTAGGATTAATTGCACAGTTATTTTTTGCAGTGATTCACTACCAACAGTAACCTGGTATAAACTTGAGAAAACAGATGTCCCCGTCAATGTCAGCAGTGACAATCACATTAAAACAGAGTGGAAACCTTTAAACAAGTCAGCAGGGATCTTCTATTTGATCTTCCAAAACATTCTCAGAAGTGACTCTGGTCAGTATCAGTGTCATGGTGGAGGGAGTATGAGTCATGCAATCACTGTCAATGTCCACGGTGAGTGATCCTTTATACATATCAAGACTAAATGATGACTACATGATTTTATTTTTTCCTGCTACAGAATAATTCATTCAACATCCCTCATTAATTCTCAGATAATCTGATTTATGATATGATTTCTGAAAAACAAACAGCTCAAATCTTTTTCAGATAATGTGAAGCTCACCACAGCTTTGTGGACAACTTTGGCACCAGGGCCCTATTTCAGGAAGCCGGTTTAGAAAACTCAGAGTGAAAAACGATACTCAGGGTTGAGTAACCCCGAACTGTCCAACTCGGAATATTCGGTTTCAGAAAGGCTGATAACAATTAGTTCAATCAACGCGGAGTTGCTTTAACCCCAAGTTAAGCGCGCGCACGAGGATACATAAAGCCCTGATTAGTGGAGCACAGATTAAGCGAGTCACCATGGAGACGGAGGGAAAGAAGGCGCGGTCAATGTATTTTACAGCGCTTGAGGCCGAAATTCTGATGGCAGCATATGCCGATAACATGCAAATTTTGCAGAAAAAAAGTAACACAGCCTCAGCTGCAAAAGAAAGGGAGCATGCATGGCAAAACATAGCCGACAGAGTCAATGCGTGAGTGTTAATTTAAACATTGATCTAGGGATTTCCACCCATTTAACACGTTATTTTATTATATTTATTTTATTTTTTATTTTATACATTTTATTTTGTGATGTGATGTGAGCGCAGGTGCAACCCAACAGGCCCCAAACGTTCCTGGCAGCAAGTAAAAATGAAATATAAAAATATAGTCCAAACAGGTGAGGTGTAATTGTATTATGAGCCATAGTGCTTGGTCTGTTTGTCCGATGTAAATCAATTGCAGTTAGAGGCTACATTAATTTCCCCTCTGTAAGCACTTATTGAAATTATCTGAGCACATTACAAGTACATATTTGCTTACTCTGTATGCTCAAATGTGACCCGTTATAGCCAACAGAAAAAAAGCGGAGGCCCGAAAAACAGGTGGGGGTCCTCCACCACCACCACTCACAGAGCCTGGCCACTTGGCTTCCACATTTGTGATAATGTTGGCAGCATCACATATGATCTTCACAGTGCAGAGAACACAAATTAGCATCCATTACTATAATGAAATAATTTGTTAGTTTGAAATGCTACAGGGAACTATGTACCTGTACATTAATGCTGTGGAAAGACTTCCTGTTCACATAGTCTCCTTCATTTACTGAAGGAGCAATGATTGGAATGTGAGTGCCATCTATACAGCCAATCACGCCTGGGAACCTGAAAATAAATGTAAAATTTAAGTAGTAGTTCAAGTATCACCACATCATGAATTAAGTTTTGTTCATCCTGCTACCTGCAATTTTGTGGCATCCCTCTTTGATAAATCTTGTGGGTCTATGACCGGGGAACACCACAAACGAGTACAGGAGACGTTTCAGTGCAACTGTAACATTCCTGACTGCCCGACAGACGGTAGCCTTGGAAACGTGCTCAGCGTCACCAATATTATACAGAAAGCTCCCGTTTGCAAAAAACCGAAGTGCAATACAAATAATATGTACAGAACTGAGAGGATGTCCGCGATGTGTCACATGAGCAATATTAGGCCTGAGGATGTTATTCAAATAAATTATAGATTGTGCTGAAAAACGGTAACGTTCACACAGGAAATCATCAGGAAATGATAAAATGTCCAAACGCGCTCTAATCACTCTCTCCCGGCGGAGAGCTCTGCGGAGAATTTGGGCTTCAACATCTACTGGCTCTTCAAGGAAGGGACACGCCATGTCTGACACTTCCTACAGTCAGGTTTCCGACAAAGAGGCGGAGAAGTCAGGGTTAGTTGAAGTAAACCTGCTAGGGGGCAGGTTAGCTTCACGGAGTGTGTCGTCATAGTAACTCACTCAGAATTAATCTAAACTCGCTTTGTGAAACCGAAAACCCAGAGTTTTCGTTAACTCAGGGTATACTTACTCAGAGTTTGCACTAAACCGGCTTCCTGAAATAGGGCCCAGGTAAGAGACTTCCGTTTACCGTTTTGTTTGCCTTGTTTTGCGAACATTATGTTTCCCACACTAATTTTTATATCACTGCTTCTTTGATGCTACATCAATCGTCCTCTGATTTCTTGCAGTGAATACAACTTCTGCTGACACTTTCTGGCCAGTCATATACCGTGTTGTTGGGAGTGTGGTATTTGTCACCGTAGTAATATTAATATGTGTTACATCGAAGCAAGGTTGCAAAGGTGAGATGTTTGGGTTTGTACATAGAGGAACTGGTTGTGTTGCTGAAAGGATAAAGTTTAAACCGAAAAATAGTAAAAACAAAACAAAACAAACCCCCCCCAATTAATTAATTAATTAATTAATTAATTAAAATTGTACATAAAGTTAATACTTGTGTCATGCTATGCACATTCACTATCATGATCCTGAGAAGATGAACTGACTTCCTTTCATCTGTGTTATCCAGGAAAACCGAGGAAGACAACAAAACCAAGTCAGGAGCTCTACACTCATATCTATGACAACGATGTATGATGACGATCCTCATGTCTGAAATGCTCTAAAATCAGTCTGTAAAGCTCAATTTATTATAATCAGCATATTTTACTGATGTGTGAGCTAAGCCTTGCTACAATTTCTTATTTAAATCTACTGGCGTCTCACTGGTGTGTGTTACCGTGTACCCAGTTTAGCATTTTTTGAATTCCTGTAAATCAAATCAAACTGTAGAAGTGAAATTTCCTACTTGAGAAACCACTATTGTTTAGTCTGCAAAGACTGCGGGTGCATGTGTGTACGTGCGTGTGTGTGGTGTATGGCACATTGGAAAGGTAATAGTTTTGCTTCCTGTACAGGTAACAGTTTTGCACACATCCTGTGCAAACAGGACCTTTGACTGTATTTATGATTGAATTAGTGTGTTTGCATCGCTGCTCTCTGTCGTTGATGATTAAAGAAGCTTTTCTTCTTTGGTATTTGAGTGTCTTTGCATTTGGGAGCAGGAAGTAGAATTGAACCACACACCACATGAACATATATGAAGACAACGGCTCCAATGGTTTTACAGAAAAAGAAAAGGAAGATGTAACTCATAAAGTTAGCCTTCCACTCATTATCCCACAGCTGTTATTGCACTAAGAAAACTAAATTTTACTTCAAAAGTTACTTGTTAAATAACAACATAACAAAATACTTTGGTGTGTCTAAAATAAACCACACTACAACACGTTGCACAATGGCTGCAATGCATTAGCTCATAGTTTGGAAAGTTTCCATTATAACCAGATGGTGATATTGTCGCAGCATCGCTCTATTGTGACAAACTAACCAAACCGCAATGAGACACTTGTGCAACATTGCAGCAATGTAATAAAACAGTAATACGATGTATTTTACAGATTGCACCCATAATTTTCTATCACAGTTGGGGTAATGGTGTAATAATAACTGTGAAACATTTTAAAAAGTTGATGAAATATATTTAGAACATTCTTTTGTAACAATACAGCAATGCTCAGGTCCAGTGTTTTTGAGCATAGAATATCAAGCATCAGAATAAGGAATGTTACTACCATGTTGCACCAACCCAGTGGTTCCCAAACTTTTTTTGCTAGGCCCCCCTTTGTTTTACAAGAAAAATGTTCGCCCCCCCGCACGGGCACAAACACATCCTCCAACCACACACACCCCTATTTTGCTCCATTGCGGTTTATTTCACACCTCAAACATTTAGTAAACAATTAAGCAAATACAAGTAATCTGCAATAAATTACAGGTAGTAATAAAATAAAATACTAACTCTTTTACGCTACGTCCGCACCTACACGGGTATTTTTGAAAACGCAGCTGTTTCATCCACATGTAAACAGCGTTTTGAATCAACGAAAATTGACATTTTTTAAAAACTGTTTACATGAGATGAATTGCAGAATGGCAGATAGAGACAAAATACTGTTAATCTGACTATCTTCAAGTTTTACACGCTTACATACACACACGCAGTTACTGTCCCTCCATTTAGAAAGACAGAGGTGTCACGGTGTAATTATTTTACGTGTAGTTATTTTTTTCCTGTGTAATAATATTCAACATTGCTGTCAATACATTTTTCCAAGAATGCCTCTCTGTGCAAAATGGGTTTAAAAACATAAACAGCTGTAGGATACTGTTTGTCCATGATTTGAACCGGGGGACAAATTTGTATCCCACTGTAACTTTACTGTATAAAGAGCTAACATCTCCAAAATGTCAGGAGTAGTTAGTCATTATGAGAAGTGTTTGTGAACTAAAAATCAAGAATGTGGGATACTGTTTGCCCGTGATTTGAAGAGCCCAGCGCGTGCTCCCGATGCAGGGAAAACCAATTATGCAGGGGAGACCTACCTTGGCACTTGTGCAGGTGAAACCAAAGGGAAGATATGCTTCACCATATTTTCTAGTCTTTGGCTTAGAATGAAGTTGGTTTGGAAACATATTCAGCTATGCTTCATCTCTCATGCTAGCAGTGTCCAAGCGTTTTGTTCCCCCCCCTTTTTCATACCTAGGGGGCGGGCCGCACACTTTGGGAAGGTCTGCACTAGTGATGGGATTTCCAGCTCTTTTTAGAGATCCGGCTCGGCTCACTAAAAAGAGACGGTTCTTTCGGCTCCAAACCGGATCTTCAGGCTGTTTTGTTGCTTTAATTAATTTATCATTAACAATAATATAAAATTATGCAGAAAAGGAATTACTAATGTAAAAAAAGTGGTTTTATTTATATGTTTATATATGGCCCCTAGAGACAAAGCACGTACAAACTCTAAAGCATATACAAACTCCAAAACACATTTCTAGCGTTAACTGAACTTCCAAAACAGAGCTACCCAGATCACTTAAATTACACAATTGAAAGCATGTGTGTAAATGACTTTTATTGTACAACAAGACAGCTCATATTTGGATTCAAATAATTTATAAAAAAAAAGTTCAATTTACCATGAATACATACCACACAACCAAATAACACGGTTGTTGACACATTCCTGAGCTTGTCTGTAGCCACTACGGTAACAAAAGCTCAACAAACTGCGCCCATAGCATCGTGAGCACTTCTGTTGTCTTTTGTACGTGCTTCTGAGTTTTTACGTGTTTTGGAGTTTTACGTGTCTTCTGTAGTTTTTATGTGTTTTGGAGTTTGTACATGCTTCGGAGTTTGTACAGTGTTCTGAGTTTTCGTTTTTATTTTACGTGTTTTGGAGTTTGTACGTGTTTTGGAGTTTGTACGTGCTTTGTCTCTAAGGGCCACCATAAATATACTTTATTTATTCACTCCACATAAAATGTAATAAATAAATCATATAATACAAAAAACAACTATTTACATTTTAAACTTTTAACTATTTAAATTTTCAGCTTTTTCCTTTTAAACAAATTTAACGTGAAACAACACAAAACACTGCAAACCACAACACAATTAAATATAAATTAAAATATTGAAAACAAAAAGAAGATGCACATTCTCTGTCATATGGGCCTGCATGAATATTCTGAATCCTTTATCATCTGCAACTGAAAATAGTGGATGATTACTATACTTTTCTAATGTGACGTTGTTGTCCCTCTCTCTTTCTCTCTGGCTCTGTTCCTGTGCTACTGCGAGTGTAACTAACGCCCCTCCCCCCTCTGGCCCTGCGCAAAGTACAGGCCGCGGTGTGGAGTTTAGCGGAAAAAAGGGCGAGAGAGAGGGTGAGAGAAAGAAAAAAAAAAAACTCACAGCCGGCTCGCGTGTTCACTTCAAAGAGTCGGCTCTAAGAGCCATTTCGTTCGCGAACGACCCATCACTAGTCTGCACAAACCAAACTTTGTAGGAAACAAAAATTGTTAAAAAAAAAAATTAGCTTACTAGTATAATTTGCAGGCTAATAGTAAAGCCATTATCACAGAATGCTATGTGTGATAGTTAGTGCAGCTTATGAAAGATGGCTATTTTAAAAGGGT